GGCAAAGGCGACAGAGGCCCTTCTGGAAGTCATCAGGAGGAAGCAAACCCCATTAAACTCCAGCTGAAAAGGCAGCTGAAGTAATCAGCAGAAGATTTACTCCAATTAAGCTGTGCTATTATTAGTCCACGCCTGTGTCAATGGAAATTTTCTTCTCTGCTGCTAGCTGACACTGAGTTAGCAGAAGAGCTACAGAGAAACTCTTGCTTTTGAGTAGTTCTCTTGGAAGTAGACAGAAAATGATTACAATAAGTGGATCATCTAAAGTGATACTCACCCACCTCTGGGCTCCATAAGTTACCTAGACAGGACAGGTGAGGGTTTCACACTGAGAATGCTGATTTTAAGAAACATAAAAGTTCTTTGTCTGGTATCCAGGGTGATCTGAGTTACAGGCCCCTGTTCTCACCCCAGGGCACCCACATCATGGCACTGTGGCTACCATCATAGCTTCCAACCCTGCTCCCCTGGTACCCCCTGCTTGGGGAGGTCCTGGCACCTGGGCAGGAGGTGAGGGAGAAGCCCACTCCAGGGACGCTGGGAGGACTGGAGCAGGACACAGGGGCAAGGCCAGGAGCAAGACATGGGCAGAAAAGAAGCTGGACTGATGTCCTCAGCCAGGCAACACACGCTGAGCACCCCAAGTGCGCGAGGCTGCAGCGCACCAGCGGAGCAGCAGGCTGATGTGATACCCTTTGNTGGACTGATGTCCTCAGCCAGGCAACACACGCTGAGCACCCCAAGTGCGCGAGGCTGCAGCGCACCAGCGGAGCAGCAGGCTGATGTGATACCCTTTGGGACATGCTTGTGAGAAGCACATGTAACCCAGGCAGGAGGCTGGGGAGAAGGGAGTCATGGGAGGGGCTGCCAGAACCAAGTGGGCATCACCCAGATGAAGGAAGAAGTGTGGAGAAGGGCTTTCCAGGCAGGGCAGCCATGCACAGGCAGCCAAGGGGATAGGATGGGAGACTGGCTGCTGCAATGAGGGCCACATGCTGGTGCTTAGGAGACCAGGTGGGGGCCACTCAGGGAGAAGCAGCATCACATGGTGTGCAGGGCATGGCAGCCAGGCTCCTGGGGACAAATCCTGGGTTACTCACAGAGGGACCTTGGGCCCTTTACTTTTCTGAGCTTCATTTTTCTCATCTCTACAAGAGGGATAATCATGGAAACTACATCCTCCTTGTGGGATGGTTATGAGGATTAAATGATCCAGGGCATGTGACTGGGGGTGGAAGGAAGGGAACATAGCCCAGAGAGGTGAGCAAGGCCAGGCTGTCACAGCCCTTGCGGGCCACTCCAGAGGGCCCAGACACTATCCTGAAAACAGCTCAGGAGCCATGAAAAAACCTAAGCAGGGGCATGGCATGATCCGTCTGCATTTTAGGGAGATGCTCAGGAGCCTAGTGAACAGACAGAGGCCTCCTGCCTCCTTCCTAGATGGGACCTTTCCAGAATGGGGAAGGAGGCTTTTGGCACACAAAAAGGATCATAAAACTGAGTTAAGTAACCTGCCCAAGAGTTGGGCAGTTGGTAAATGGGTCCGTCGGCCCCAAAGCCTGTGTCATTTCTGTGTTGCCACCTCAGGGGCCACAGGAGCAGCTTTCAGACCTGGAATGAAACCACTCAAGGCTTATCCTGCAGACTCAAAGCAGAAATAGGATGGGAGCAAGCTGTCCTCAGATGAAGCTTGAGCAAGGCAGAGCAGATTCAGGCTGAGGCCCCATCTCCCTGTAATACAGCCCCAGCACCCGGCTGATGGGCCAAGTGAGGTGGAAATCGATCCCATGTTCTACTTGCCAGGCTGTGCATGCCAAAGAAGGGACAACTTTTTCTAATTCTCATGACATTGCTAGTTTCTGACCATGCCATGCACATAGAGGTATCCTATAGGCTAGAGGAAGCCCTATTGGCAAAGATGAAGAAATGCATAATCGTTTCTTTAAAATGATTTCAGTTCTTATACAAACTGTTTCATTTTGACAAAAAATGAAGCTTGTTTTCTGGCAATGTGGAAATTGTCTCAAAATAGCAGATTATCAAAAATTTGAAATGCTCTGTGGGGATTATCTCGGGTCTAAGATAAGCAAGTGGATGGTTCAACCCCAGGCAGGAGAGAACAGAGAGGGACTACAGGGCTGGGCTGGCAGGATGGGGGAAGCTCACCTGCCAGGCGTTCTGTGACATCAAGCACTGCTCGGCCACTCAGGAAACGCACCCGCCCAGCAAACGCTTGCAGGAGGCAGAGGTTGTCTGGAAGAGATGGAAACATCATTGGCCATGACTCTGTGGGCCGAGCAACGGCACCAGGGATTTGTGGTGCCAGGAACCCACCATGCCTACCTGGGGTAGAGGCAATTTGGGGAGCTAAATTAAATTTTCTGGGTCACAATGGGCCCACTTAAAAAAGTGAAGGTGCATGGAATGCTTGGAGAAGAGTGAGCAGCCTGAAACAGTTAAACTGGCTCCCAAACAGGCCTCATTTCAGTATGAACAGATCCCTCTGACCTGGTTTATAACGCCTTCCTGTGCTTCTCAAAATTGCTTTGAGGTTGGGGCAAAAGAGAGTAGACAGATGATGGATGGATGGATAGATACATAGATACATAGGCAGATGATAGATAATCGAGACAGATGGATGGGTGGACACGTGGATATATAGATACAGTTTTAGAGGACACGGGCACTGAGCCGTGGTCACACAAAGGTTGGTCAAGGGTTGGGGTTAGAATTCAGAAATTATGGATCAGATTCTGGTCAAGATGGCAGAATAGACGGTCCCTGGCGTCACTCTCTCCAACATATCAACCAATTCACAACTGTAAAAATGTAACATCAGCCAAGCTGGGGCCGCTGGAGCTCGGGGATTGAGGAGGAGAGACCTACAGAGTTCATGAAGGTGGGAGAAGCCATGATGAGAGAAAGAAAAAGCTGCTCTCAGTGTTTCGGGCCACGGCTGCTTTAGTGCTGGAGCACATGGAGCAGGAGCTGTCAGAAGTCGCAGCTGTGCCCTGCAGATGGAGTTACTTGGAGGAAGCAGGGAGAAGAGAGCTTTGGCGGCCCCCAGGACAGCAAGACCACTAACAGGGTTCCTGTGGGCCCATGCAGGAGCGAGGAGCCAGAACAGCTGTAAAAGGGGAGCCATTCAGAGGCTGGTGAGTCAACGCAAGGGACTGACACAGGGCCTGTCCCATGGGAAGTGTTTGGAGCATGGTGGTGGGGGAGACAGGCCCACCAGGAGAGCACTAGGACACAGCAAGGATAGCCGATCCACCTCAATCAGTGCAGGACCACTCAGAGGAGACTGGTCGGGAATGAAGAATTGCATGAGGAACAGTTCGATGAAAAAACTTAGGCCCAGATCAGAGTTTCTACACAACCCAGGTGCACCAGGTCTCTGAAGAGCCGGAAGTAACTATAAGGTCAACCATTAAACCCTGAGCTGCACAAAAAGCCTTCCCTAGGGAAACAGCAGCAAAGCAGCAATTTAGCTCAACCACACAGCTCAAGTACTGGTTCC